ACATCCCGGCCACAGGCCAGCAGCAGCTGCCCCAGCCCGGCTTTCCAGAAGACGAGAAGTCAGCCTGGGCTGGGGCCAAGGGGGAAGGGCAAGCAGGAGGAGGCCTCGGCACAGAGCGTGGGCGGGGTCATGCTGGGCTGTTTGGGGAGGCACAGCCTGCCCCCCCCCATGATATGTGCCGCCCATGTCGCCCCTTATATACCCGTGGCTGGGGCATGGCTGACAACAGTCTATGAGGTTCAAGGAAAATGTGGTTCTGAGGAAATCTGGAAGGTTCCACGAGATTCTACAAAGGTCCAGAACATTCTAGGAGACTGGTGAAAAATGAACCCACGTACAGAATACCTGAAACATTTCACTTCACACATTCTATTTTCCCTTTTGTCGCTAACAACTAAAAGAGCGCTTGGAGCCCGGCGCCCCCCGCCAAGCATAACACCTCAGGTGGTCACTTGGATCGCCTGCCCCTAAATCCAGCCCTGCTCTCCATGCCTCTGTGCAAAGAAGTGAATGAATGCTAGAAATCCGCAGCGTACCCGATGTAAACGCTGAAGCTGAGAAGGTGCTGATTACGTAGAGATACAATAACTAGACACCAATAACCCCGGTCGTTTTCTGAACACTCGGCCGATAATATCTCTGGCCAAGAACTGCCTGTGCTGGGGGCTAAAGTTAAGCTCCATACTTAGACTCCTAACTAACCACATGCATATTCAAAAGTACTGCGCACCCTGCATCTCCCAAGGACATGGCGTTAGGCTCCTAAGTCACTTGGCCCAGAACCTCAAAGCTTTTTAGGCTCCAAGCCACCACTGAGAATTTTGAAAATTTTACCCAAAGTAATTTTGGCAGATAGGAGCCTAAATCCCATTGATTTCCAATGAGCTGGAGGGTCCTAAGTCACATAGGTGCTTTTGAAGATTTTATCTGCCACCTCCTGTTAACTGTCTAAGTCACCATGGCCAGGCAGTAATGTGCAAATCATCAATAATGCCACTCTTGCTCTGCTTACACAGAAATATCCACCTCTTGTCCAGCGCCCACCAGCAATGGCTGCAGTTCCAGCTACTGGGTCCCAAACTCTCATCCGCCCCAGCTACTGCAGCAGGAGGGTCCATCTGCACAGAGGCAGGGAGAGGTCCTTGCTGCTATTGGCCTGCCAGCCTTGGCCTCTCGCTGGCAGGGGCTCCTCTCTGCTAGTGCTGCACTGCCCGCGTCCGTGCCGGGCTATAAGTCTGAGTCACAGGGCAGAGAGCGGCTGAAGCTTCTTTCTCCCTCCAGCACATCCATGGGGTTGCTGAAGGACTTGGGAGCCGGCTTCTGGCTACGGGGCATGGAGTCTCTGGAAGATACGGTGGCGGGGCCCGGCTGGCTGCGGTGGGGATATTTGGTAGTTGTCTTCTTTCTCCTGCACTCCTGGCAGCCCTGGTGGAGGCTGAGTGCCAGGGAGAAGCCCCCGATGAGCTCCAGGCAGCTGCCCAGGTAGCCCAGCACCAGGCTGTAGCCCACCTCCAGGGTGCTGCCTGCGGGCGCAGGCAGGGCGCTGAGGTAGTGGTTGTACCACGAGACAGGGATGAGGCTCATCAGCCCGGAGGCAAAGAATATCAGGCCAGAGAGGCCTGCCAGCAGGTAGTGGGGCTCTTCCTGCCAGCAGCGCACCCCCAGAGCCGCCACCACCAGCCCCACCAAAGTCACAACCAGCGAGGAGACCATCAGCCCCTTGGCCACCTGCACCGGCTGCGTGGGGAAGTAGCCGAGTTCGTCAGCCAGGCCGCACTGGCGCTGGCGGGTGCTCTGGGTCTCTTGGCAGAGCTCCCAGATGCCCTGCTGATAGACCACGTCAATGGGCTTGCCGGATATTCGGCTCACCTGCCTCCAGCAGGGAGTCAGCGTGCTGACCAGGTTCAGCAGCAGGCCGCAGGGACTCAGCACCAGGCCCACGATCATCACCGACGGCGTCCGCATGTTGCAGGGCCCAGGGAGGAGGCGGGAATGGAACCACCGGCCCGGCTGCGCTGGGGAGAGGAGAACCCAGTCACAGCGGTGGAAGGAGCAGTGCTGCTTCAGAGGCAGATAGAGTCGTGTCCGTCCCCCCCAGCTGCTGTGGTCTTCCCAGTGCAGGGCCCTGCCTCCTGCTTGGCCCCGGCGCCTGCCCTGCCCGCACAACCCAGCGCTGTTCGCCCCTGCGCAAGCCCTCACCTGCTGGGTTTGCCAGCCCAGTCGCAGGGGGCATCGGCCGTATGGCTTCCTCTTTGCTCTGTTCCCAGCAGAAGGAAACTGGCTGCTCTGACCGAAACTGCTGCATGTACAGAGAAACCCAGCCCGGCTGCCAAACAAGTTCTGGGTGGTATTTTATGAGAGGGGAGGGGAGGGGAAGGCAGGGCTTCCCTACCCCTGCAGGTGAAACAGTAACCAGGAAGAAGCCCTAAAGGCTGACGAATGATCACTGGGCAGGTGAGGATTGGTATGAAGTGACTGCAGAAAAGCCCTTTGCTGCTCCCAGCCTGTGCGTGGCTGGTTTCAATGGTGCCGAGCAAAGGTCTGCGCTCGGTCCCTGAGCAATAACAGTGACACAGCCGCCCTGAAATCAGAGCTCGGGATGGCCGCATGGCCTGAATCTGTCTGGGCAGGAAATGTTACCCCCCCTCACCTGCCCTCCCAGGGGAACATCGGGGCACGTGCGGGGGTGCCCAGGCCCGTGGTGGGGCCCGGATCCAGCTGGTGCACACACCGGGGAGGGCAATAGAGGACTGTATCCCTTCCGCTGTGGGTAGAAGAGCAACACACCACCCACGTTAGAGCAGACGCTTGGTCGCAGATGTAAAAGGACCCTTGTCCAGGGGTCTGCGTGGCTATACCGGATTTACAGGTGTACGAGCCCAGCTCTGTACAGGCTATCTGGCCTCGGTGCCGCTGTTTCCACTCTTATCTTACCAGGCCAAGAGTCCTAGGCTCTCAGCTCGGAGGGAAGCCGCTGCCGTGCGTAGCCAGGCAGAGCACCCGGCACTGCCACTGATGTCAGGGGGCACTGCTGGGCGCGCTGCACCTTGCAAAACACGCGGCCCGTGCAGGAGCCTCAGTAAGGATTTGGGGGGGTGTCTACACTGCAACTAAAAACCCGCGGCTGGCCCGGGCCAGCTGACTCGGGCGCACGGGGCTGAGGCTCAGGGGCTGTTTAATTGTGGTGTCAGCATGCGGGATCCTCCCACCTCCCGGGGCCTACAGCCCCAGCTCCAGCCCGAGCCTGGAAATCTCCACAGCAACGACACAGCCCCGCAGCCCGAGTCGGCTGGGACGGGCCAGTCATGGGCGTCTAGCTGCTGTGCAGACATTCCCTTGGAGCAGAGGTGGGCAAACTACGGCCCACGGGCCACATGCGGCCCGCGGGACCGTCCTGCCCGGCCCCCGAGCTCCTGGCCCTGGAGGTTATCCCCCGGCCCTTCCCCTGCTGTCCTCCCTCCCTCGCAGCCTCAGCTCACCCCATCGCCGGCGCAATGCTCTGGGTGGCGGGGCTGTCTGCTCCTGGGGCAGCGCAGCTGCAGAGCCCGGCCTGACCTGATCTCTGTGCTGCGCGGTGGCAGCGTGGCCCGGCTCCAGCCACCGGTACTCCAGGCAGTGCGGTAAGGAGGCAGGGAGCAGGGGGGGTTGGATAGAGGGCAGGGGAGTTTGGGGTGGTGGTCGGGGGCGGGGGTGTGGATAGGGGGCGGGGCGGTCAGAGGGCGAGGAACAGAGGGGTTGAATGGGGTGAGGAGTCCCAGGGGGCAGTCAGGAGGGGAGGGGTTGGATGCGGCAGCAGGGGGCAGTCAGGGGCGGGGGCTCTGGGTGTGGTCAGGGGGACAGGGAGGAGTGGATGGGGCAGGGATCCCAGGGAGCCATCAGGGAACAGGGGGGTTGGATGGGACAGGAGTCCTGGGGGGTGGGCCGTCAGGGGGGCAAGAAGGCGGGGGGGGGGGGGGCAGATAGAGGATGGGGCCGGGCCACACACCCCTCCCCTAACTGGCCCTCCATACAATTTCCAAAACCTGATGCAGCCCTCAGGCCAAAAAGTTTGCCCGCCCTAGGCTGACAAGATGTCCCAATTTTATAGGGACAGTCCCAATATTTGGGGCTTTGTCTTATATAGGCACCTATTACCTCCCACCCCATGTCCTGATTTTTCACACTTGCTGTTCGGTCACCCTAGCCCGCCCCTGACTTGGAGTATCTCCCCTTAATCATGGGCGAACGTGTCTGTCCTTTAGGGAGAGCTGTGGGAAGGCCGTGGAGGATTAGCAGCACTGGAATGATTTTTAGCCTCTGTCCTGGAAAGTGGGCGGGGTCCAGCCCGAGTTAAAACAGAGCCTGGGCTGTAATCCTGCCCCCAGAGCTGGCTCGGCCCAGGTAGAGAGCTCTTCCACACCCGGGGCAGAGGTTTTCCTGGGTGATGGTGGGAGGGGCTAAAACCTGGCTAAGAGCCTGGGCTAACTGTGCAGTGTGGCCACACCCTGGCTCTCATCAGCCCCACCCGCCGGCTGGTTTCCTAGCGTGAACGTTTCCTCATTGCTGGCTGAGAGTGGGTAGTTAACGAGGCCTCAGAGCAATGTCCACCTGGCCCAGGGCACTAGCCTAGGGCATTGCATGACACAGCTGTGTAGTGTTTCTGTTGAACAGCTGGGCATTTCAGGGCAAACTAGCCCTCTCAATGGGTGAGCTCCTCCAATAATGCTCTGATGTGTTACATTGATAAGTGGGGCCTGTCTGACATTACCTTACTGGAGAGGAGTCTAGGCTTATCCTCACTGCTAAAAAAGTGTGGTATTTACCTCAGGGACAGGATACAGCACAGTGAAGCAACCTCAGGCAGGGGCATAGGGCTGACCTCAGCGAGTTTACCTGGTGGTAAAACGAAAGTTCCTGGTCTTCACTGTGTTTTTACCGCAGGAACATTCCTACACGTCGCCTGAGGCCGTGGTTCTCAGCCAGGGGCACACGTCCCCCGGGGGCACGCAGAGGTCTTTCAGGGGGCACATCGACTCATTGAGATATGAGTTTTGCCACAGGCTACATAAAAAACACCAGTACGCACTAAAATGTCATACGACTTGTTTATACTGCTCTACATGCTCTACACTGAGATGTAAGTACACTATTTATATTCCAATTGATTTGTTTTATAATTATATGGTAAAAATGAGACCGTCAGCAATGTGTCTGTAATAGTGTGTTGTGGCACATTTTTATGTCTGATTATTGTAAGCAAGTAGTTTTTAAGTGCGGTGAAACTTGGGGTACGCAAGACAAATCGGACTCCTGAAAGGGGTGCAGTGGACTGAAGAGGTTGAGAGCCACTGTCCTGAGGCATCCAGCAGTGGTTTTAGCAGTGAAGACAAGTGAGTCCTAGACTCTCCCCATCAGGGATCCCGAGGGGACATAAGGGTTAAACTGAATCCTGCGTTCTGGCTCTAAAATGTTTAGCAAACATTGAGGAAGAAAGCAACACCCTCATGCCTGGCTTCATCTGCTGCTTGGGTGTGTCTTAGCGTAAGGAACGCAGACCCAAACACCCCTGCACCTAACCCCAGCAGAGCAACCTATACTGGAGGGGACAGATCCCATCCCCTGACTGCTTAGAAACAGGAAGCTGAGTATTGTGTTTGGATTTTGCTTCTTGCTGGCTGGAATTCCAAGAGCTTCCTCTCTACCCATACATAGTTATTACATTAATTGCCCCATGTGTGCTTATCCTAGCGTTAGGCATTTCACTTATATTAAAAAAAAAAATTAAAAAAATCAGTTTGACCCAAAGTCAATTCCCTTCCCATCAACTAAAAAAATAAATCTCTTCTCAACCCCCCCGCACATACGTCATTCATCCTCAAGATCTTAAAGCCTTTTACAACCGTATCCATGCAGTAGTGCTGGGATGCAGCCAACTCTGGGGTGGAGTGCTGCAGCCAGGTGACACACCCCACGGCGCAGGAGGGGGTAAATGTTCAGCCAGGGACATCAGCACAAAGCCCTGCCCTTCCAGATAGGGGCACAGAGACCAGACATGGCCTCCGTTTGTAAGGACTGATTTGGAACTTGAAAGATTAAAGATATTTTCCAGAGGTGGCCACTGGCTTTGGGTTCCTACATTTCTGGAAGCCCAGCTTGGGACACCTCGCACCAGATGTCCAGAGCTGAAGAGCACCCAGGGCTCCCATTGACTGCAACTGGGGCTGTGAGCCCTCAGCACGTTGGAAAACCAGGCCCAGGACCCCAGAAATGAGGCACATCTGGGGTCTAGCCTGTCACGTCATCCCAAGAGGAGTCTCCAGGCTCAGCAATAGCAGCTGGCCCAGGGAATTCCCCAGCTTCTGCTGACCATTCGGTACATGTTCCCACACGTGCTGCCAGCTCTCAGGACAGGAAACATCTCTGGCCATTTACCTTGGGGACCTACACGCATGCTGAAGGGCTTTGCCCTGCTCCCTGCTCCACACCAGCAGCTCCACTGGGCTTCCCAGAAAAGATGGTGATTCTCAGAGGTTGGCCGTGTGCTCTGGGCTGGCAGTACTGCCTAGTGGTGCTACGCCGAGGCGTGAGCCCAAGGGGCCTAATGGTGGGAGTCTAAGAGTCGATTTCTCTGGCCGTTACTGCCTGAGGTATTGTCGCCTACTGGCGAGAGTCCAAAGGCAGCTCTCCTCAGCGGCTACATTTCAGGGGTGGCGTCGCCTACTGCCTAGCTCTACAGTTACGAGTTGCTGCGATAAGTTAGCTGTTGAGGTAGCCAGGGCCAGCCCCCGGTTGGGCACAGATTGTGGAGCTCTTGCCCTGAGAGCCTGCTGTCTGGCAGGAGAGGTAGCCGCCCATCAGCCCCACTGCTAGGGTATGGAGCCTCCTGCCGTCAGCATTTCATCCCTAGTGCCCAGGCAGGGGCGCTCTTCTCTGGAGCGGCTCGTGCACCGATGACGCCTGTAGACACGCGGTTGGCTTGGCTCCCTGCTCCAAGCAGCTGCGAATGCATCAGTCCCCGCTACTGTATTAACGAAGATAGTTTAGAAACGCTGGGCAGCACAGACCAGGTCTCTCACAAGCACCCTCAGCTGCAGATCGGAACTGGCTGGCCCTGGCCCTGGCCAGTGGGTGTGTGTGTGAAGCCTCCCTGAGGCAAACAGGGCAGTGTCTTTGTGCCCCTGGCACGTGTCCTAAGCTCCCCTCCCTGCCCTCACTTCCTGGAGGAACAGGGAGCCACAATCGGCCTGCGGGCTCGGAGCTGTCAGGGTGAAGGGTTCACGTAGGAGGCAGCCTCCGTGCTTAGGCAATGGCCCGGCTGACAAGCCCGGTTCAGCCAGTCGCAGGTCCTCTCCTGCTGCC